AAAAAATGCACTTATCAAAGCATATCTATTCAGTTGAAAAAAACAACATATTTAGAATTCCAAAAAATCCAAACCACACTGGCAATTACCAATAACCTTCAAATACCTCCACTGTAATCTCCTTTGGGGCTACCGGCCACTTGTGTTCATATTTTTCTTTCACAGTTTGCTCCGTGTTAGCAGTTGGGTTTGAATTCTCAACACGCACTCCATGGCTTGGCTTACCCACCAGATTTTGAACAGATTTTACCATATTCTTTAAATCCTCTGGGTAAGGAGTTGGATATCGTTTTAGGTTTATTTCAACCTAGAAGTTTGTAAAAAGAAATTTAACATAAAAATAACTTCAGCAAGCATGTTTACAAAATGAGCTTATTTTATGTGCAGTAGTATAACCAAATGCAATACAGTGAGTGTTGAACTGGCTGAGAAACTGTGCTGTAGAGTAGAACGCATAATGTTCCTCTTTCGTTCAGCCTTGTGGGACTTCCCACCCCTTCTCACCTTTCTAGATTATACACAATTTTTGGATTATATCCTATCTTTAGACCTACCCTGTAGATGGCTGAAATAGCAGTAGGTCAAACACTTAAGTGACTGGTGGTCTCTGAAAAATGTAACCAAGTTAGTATAAGCTGCTCTCTTTCTTTGGAAATTGTGCCTTTCCCTATCTTAATTATTTGTAACTAATAATTTTGATGTTAAGAATATCTTTAGAGTATCAGTGTGGGTGATGGGAGGAGACCCCAAAAGATTTACAAATAGAGTTGTGTATTAAAAAATGGGGAGTTGACAATATCTGCTGCCCAAATATGCATTAGCTAATTAGTTAATTAGCATATTACATCAAAAGTTAGGATAGCTAATTCTTGTTAATACCTAAGGAAAAAAATGCTTCAGAGTTGTTTTTATATTTAGTTTTTACCCTCATAAAGTAACATGCTTCTTGGGTCATATCTTACGATAAGGAGGAATAAAAAATGAAGACCATTTCCTAAGATATTTTAGGTAAATGTGTAAGTTTTGGCCTTTATTTATCCAGATATTTATTTCTATTCTTGAATTCATTTTGGGGGGTATCAATCTGATTTGCAGGAACACATATTAATGACTATTTTTAGCATCAAATTTAGAAAAAGGAAATATGAGACATTCCATATAGAATATCCCACCATCAGATTACTTATTATAATATATTTAAAATAGACTAAATACAAGTTGTTCATGGTGGCTAAAGGGGAGTGGGAGGAAAAATAAGGGGAAGATTTACTTGGTCTGGCTTGTTCCAACAATCATGGCTTTTTACATCTGAGTAGAACCAACTTTACAAAATGGAATGGTTTATGTGATTGTATTGAGTATGTGTCTGGAAAGTGTTGGGGGGGGGGAGTGGGCAATGAAAGGGAGAAGCTGAAGAAGGAAGAGAAAGAAAGAGTGGGAAAGAGAGAAAAGAGAAAGAGGGAGGGGCACATAGATACCCACCTGCACACACCCATGTAATTCATGGGATGTGAGAAACTATGATGGTGGTGTAGGTCTGAGGATTATGAAAATGAACTCAAACACTTTTGCTCATCTGCAGTTTTAGCAAATACACCAACTGTGTTATTCTTCTTAGTATTTTC